TGCTGATAGCTGTGTGTTCTTCCATCACTGTTGATTTTCCATAGTGGGTATAGGTTTTCATATTTATATCCTAGAGATCAGAGCAGCTGCATGCTGATTTTTTTAAGAGCAATTACTATAATAGTATCATCTCCACATAAATTGGGATGTCTTCTCTAAGCTCATACTCTGCCTGTAACAGATAGAGGTGGGAAAGTAGGGTAAAGGTTGGAGAAAAATCTGTTCCCAGAAGTAGTTTTCCATGTCCTGGGTGGCTAATAGATATCACATGTACTAAGGAAAAAGGGGGACATTGTGATAGTGGTTTTATTATCATTATTATTATTTTGCATTTTGAGAACAGTAAAAGAAAATACAAACATTGTGAATGTTTGGTAAAAGGCTTAATTTTTTTTTTTAAATGGGAAACACGATACAAATGAATACAGTACTATTAGCTGAAAGAGAAAGGGGATGTCTTTTGCAAAATCACATTTTTTTCCACCAGTCTGTCAGGCACTTAACAAAACAGAAAAACACAACAGGGGTTAATAGATAAAATCTTTTCCTTTCCTAGTTGTTTGGTTTTTTCACTTTGATATTTCTACAAGTAGATGCTTCTTCCCCATAAATTTGTGTCTACTCAGGTAGACAAATATGGTTTTTCCAGTGGGAAGATAAGGGGAGGATAAAAATCCTTTTCTGCAATGGCAACTGGGAAATGGTCCTTATGTATTTCCTGAAAAAAAAAATAAAAGAATCCGTACCCTTAAATATGTTATAGGTAATATGGTGGACGAGGGGAAGGCTGTGGAAATTGTCTACCTGGAATTTAGTAAGGCCTTTGACACTGTCTCCCACAGTATCCTCCTGGAGAAGCTGGCTGGGCATGGCTTGGACAGGCATACGCTTTACTGGGTTAAAAACTGGCTGGATGGCCAAGCACAGAGGGTTGTGGTGAATGGAGCTAAATCCAGTTGGCGACCAGTCACAAGCGGTGTTCCCCAGGGCTCTGTTTTGGGGCCAGTCCTGTTTAACATCTTTATCAATGATCTGGATGAGGGGATTGAGTGCTCCCTCAGCAAGTTTGCAGATGACACTAAGCTGGGAGGGAGTGTTGATCTGCCTGAGGGTAGGAAGGGTCTGCAGAGGGACCTGGATAGGCTGAATCAGCGGGCTGAGGCCAACTGTATGAGCTTCAAGCAGCGCTACAGGCTTGGGGACGAGTGG